ATATTTATGCATGTTTAAAAAGTAATTATTTAACAAAATGGAAGATTCAGAAAAAGCATGTACAAACAGAGAGATTTCAAACTCAGGTCTCTTGATATCCTAACAACAAAATGTAAAAACAATGCCCCCATTCAACACTCATTTATAAATCAGTTTCGATAAAGTTGGCTAAAGATTTGTACATCAACTATCATTAGATAAAAAGGCAAACTATATCCTGTAAGTTAACAAAGCAGAAGCAACACCAACAAAAAAAAAATGCTTCCAGAAGTCTTATTCTGCAGAAATGATGTAACTGATGTCCAATTAAAGAAAAAAGTGCTAATCTCTTGAAGGACCTATTCATAGATAAACACTGTTTTTGTCTTGTACAAAAATGTCATTCTGAAGTTATTTCAAGATCCCATTGATCATTAAGAGATAAAATACCAAAAAACAACTACGCAGAAGATACTTTTTGTTTTTTCCAAGTTAATATTGTTACCTATTATCTGAAAAGATTAATAATGATTTTGTATTGATTTGAATTCCCAGGGAATAGTAAGCACTTCCTGTAGAGTTAAATCCAAATTCACACTTGCATTTTATAGCTGTCAGAATGATTCCATTTCTTGTGTCCATGGAATGAAAAGGCAAAGAAACAAGATAGATTGACTAGAATGGGCAATCTTCAATACTCTTTAGTTCAATACTCTTTCAGGCAATGCAGAATTTCAATGTAATACATGGTGTATTCAAACGTTTGTTCAGAGCCTTTTCTCAAATTCCTATTTTCGAGTCATTTTACCATGCTCATTTCCACAACCATGAACTTACAGGAAAAGGTTTACATGAGATAAGGCATTTGTAGGCATTTGTGTATCCATTTTATTTATTAAAATATGAACCACAAATGTGAATTAATACTTTCCTTAGCACACTTTTTGTGAGTGACTTTTTTTTGTTATATAAACCATTGGGATTATATATTTTCTTCACATTTTTATGTACAGACTGATTTAAATATGCACATTGGGAAATTTAGATCTGAAACTCATGTCACAGATTTCTTGCATATGTGCTCCAGTTTATGGACAGATTTAATAAGTAGATATTCCCTATTAATAAATCCCTATTAATATTTGGATCAATTTTTTAATGCTTTTTACCTATAGAAATCGTGCCAAGCATTTTTGCATGCAACTGTTGTTCTGATAAAGGAAAATAATTGCTAATGCTTGCATAAGAGTATATCCTGCTGTAGTGGGGGATAGTGTAATGTTTCTCAGGATTGCAGAAAAGTTTGGATAGTTGGAAAAATACCCCCAAATTCAATTTCACTTTTCTGATAAAGAAAAGTAGCCTGAGGGATAAAAACAGTCCTTGAGTGGGTAAGATAGGAAGCAATAGATTCACTTCTATTTCATTGTTCAAAATTATTTAGCAGGCAAGATTTCACTTTTCTTTTTGGAACTGCATTCAGAAAATTGTTCTTTAAGAATTTTGTGTGTGTGTGTGTGTGTGTGTGTGTGTGTGTGTGTAATATATTTGAGCAGGGGTTAGATATCTATTGTGAAAATATATGGATGGCTAAGCAGCCAAAGTGACACAAGAAATAAGGGCATATTCACCAGAGAAATAAAAAATAGGTTGAAGCAAGATATTTTCAGATAAGTGGGCAGGAAATTTCTCAGCACTATCTTGCATTACTTAATGTGGTCACTGAGAATTTTACATGATGGAAGAGAGATTTGTGGGTTTTATGGCTTTTCCTAATAATTTCCATTAACATCTATTTTTTTTAATTATATGATAACCAAGAGCAACAAGAAAACCTAAGATTACCACATGTAACAACCATAGTTATCTTTCTGTCCAGTTCCATGTAATGGTATAAAGTTGAGCTAGACTTTCCTTGTTTAGATTTGAAATACTGCAGCCTACGTTCAATAGGCAATCAATCAAAAGGCCCTAAAACTTCACTGAAATCTAGTAATTGTTTTTGTGAAACAGTTCCAAAACTACACAATGAACAGACGAATCAGACACATTACGAAAGCTCATTAGGTCCAGTACTGTGTTTCCAATCAAAATCAGGATGTTTCACAAAGCAAACAATCGGTGTGTTAGTATGCTTATTGCCTATTTTCAGTGGTACATATTGTTCTGACGCACAAATGGTTTACTTTGGACAGCAGTAAACAATCTGGATATGCCAGATGTTCAAATTTAACTAGAGGGAAGCTGAACTCCCAGCTAATATGACCAATGTAGTAGAAAATGCTGGGTCATCAACATCTCTCATGAACACCTATTAAAAAGCCTAGATGTTGTCAAGAATTTTGATGGATTGGCCAAAAAAGTTTTCAATTTCATCTACCATTTCAAAGCTTTGAATCAGCATTAGTCACTCATCCTTCTCAATAACAATACTGTCATTCTAAGCCAGCCTTCTGTTTGAACAATTACTTATGATCAAATAAAACAATTTCTTTATCTCTTCTGGTCCCTAAACTTTTTTTTTTAAAAAAACCCTATACATTATGCCTTCAGTTTAGCCATAGTTGTATACAATGATGGCCAACAACCAAAATGAGAGGGGAGAGGAATCACTTCCATGGGATGCATATGTAATTGAAAAAAATATACGGATTATATCTATCCTTGTATATGCATCCTTTTATTTATCTAGCATTAGCTGCACTGCATTACTTTTATTATGCATTCTAGTAGTGTCATTAGCTTTCTTCAGCCTACTGTTTTCCAGATGTGTTGGATTTCAGTTCCAGATGTGTTGAATTTCAGTTCCCCTCGGTTGTGCTGGCTAAGGATGATAGACCTTGAAGTATGTCAACTGGAGCAGGGGTCTCCAACCTTGGCAACTTTAAGACTTGTGGACTTCAACTCCCAAAATTCCCCAGCCAGGTTTGTTTTGCTGGTTGAGGAATTCTGGGAGTTGAAGTCCACAAGTCTTAAAGTTGCCAAAGCTGGAGACCCCTGAACTGGAGGCCACCAGATTGCGGAGGACACCAGATTGTGGAAAGTAGATCTGCATTGTTAGATCTAGTTAATTAGCAA